AGAAAGGTCAGAAATGACTGTCACTGGGACTAGGGAATTTCCCGGCGTCGCCGTGGGCAGCAAACTGTTGTGATTGCCCTGAGGCTGGACATGTTCCAGAGGAAGAACCGGAGAGCGCGTGCGAACCACTTCCAGGGTTGCAACAGCTGCTTGAAGGTCCGGTTTTTCCCCCCGTTTCGGCCGATAGAAGAATCGTTGCCCTGGAGTGGACTTAGCGAAGTGTAGATAATGTTTAGATCTTGCGCTGATGCATACGATGCTGTAAGTCCCCTCGGGAATGCCAAGTGGTCAAACGGTCCGAGCTTCAGCGAGGCATTAACTGGCACGAGGATGGATATAGCGTAGGCTCTTCGTTGGTCTGTTGGATGTGGTCTTTGTGTGAGCTCATCAGAGAATCTGGCTAAAAGAGGGCCACTGCAACAAATTAACCATCGTCGAGTTCCCACGGATCCGTCGCGTCATATGCTTGGTGTTACCCTGCCGATCTGACGGACGTGGGATATATCACTCCCAGGCGAAACTTTCACGCAGGGACCCCCCTTTCCCATGCTCGGCATGGTTGATGGACGCTTGCCCGAAAGGCGGGGGATTGTTAAGAGAGGGACAGGGGGGAGGATTGTTCTCTAGAAAGGAGAGTTTGTCCTACTTGCTTGATATAGAAAGTGACACGACTGCAGTGTAGTTACGAAAGGTCCACCTCGTTAGATCTGTAGCCATGCGTACGATCAGACAATGTGCTGATCGGGGGGCCGGCTGCGTAACTAAGTGGACTTCGGGGGTAGTGTCCACGTTATGTGGAGGACATAGATGCTGGGAGTACTCTGGAAATCTGGGCATAGGAAAGCTGGGGGCGAGAACAAAAGGAATCTAATCCAAAGCAGATATGACCCAAAACGCCACGTGGAAGAACACTGAGTCCCCTCGTCGTCTAATGTTGGATTATGGGGCGGACCCACGTGGGCTTCCGTACGTGGGGAAACGTCGAGTAGGAGGATTGTGGGGGCCGGGACGACGAGCCGCACTGTGGTAGAGAGTGTTTGGTGAAGTACTAACAGGCAGTTGCTTCAGGCTGCAAAATGATATAAGATAGTCCGAAAAGAATGAAGATTCACCTGACGAAAATTGCACCGACGCGGTCAGGGGTGGGGGGGGGAAGGGAGGAAAGGAGTTAGCCAAAGAAAGGGCTAGTTGATGTCGTGTGAATAGAGCGATCTCTGAGGCACAATGTTGTGTGGAGAAGCCATCAGCTGGCATAATGCGATACGATGCGCTCCTTTGTCGGAGCCAGTCTGGTTGGAGTGGGTAGTGAGTCTTTGCTGACGAGTATGCAACGTCTCTTCCACGCTAGAGTCATTAGAGGAGTAATGTACGGAAGACAGTCCATTCCTCCGTCCTCTGGACTGAATCATTAGAGATGCTCTCGCTGCCAGACTGGACTCGTGGCTGAGCCAGGTCTCACGATCTGACGGAAGTCAACATCTCCATAGGCCGGTGGCGGGCGGTCAGGGTCTCGTCGGCCTCCCGATCGGCCCCTCCCCCATCCGCTCCACCGTGATCGCAGCTCCGGCTGCAAGCTGAAGACCATCCGGACACTGTCTTTGGTCTATCCCCCAACCCGAAAGTCCAAAGTCATCTTCGCGGGACGGAGGATCGTGGGGAACGGGGTCTGGGCTTACGACTGGTTCCCGGCCTTCTGCGGTGGGCCGGGTCTGTGCGCTGTCATTCCGTGGAGATACTCCGCATTCTGACCCAAACAACGAGACATCACCTCACATTCAACCTTCGTCTACTCGCTTGAGAAGCAACGGAATGATGGCCTAGTAAAAACTTCTTCCATTGAGTATAAATAACACCATTTACGAGAGGTCTAATGGGGGGGGGGTGCAGTGGGCATTACTCACCTGAATGGAAGCTGCGTTCCTCAGCCCTGACTCAACCCCAGGCCTCTGGTTCCTGACAAGAAATTGTCAAAGGAATCTTCTTGCAAACTGCGTGGCAGTCTTTTCGTTCCTCCCTCTCCCCTCCCACTTCGTGGTAAGAATCATTGCCCCAGGCTCGTCCCACTTCCTCAGCCCCCGTCCTCGCCGTTCCAATAAAGTCTTCCTTCTGTCCAGTCACCGTGCTGGAGGTAGAATTGGTTGAAAAAGAGACGGCGGAGTAGCGAATAAACTCACGTGAAGGTTTTGGGTTGGGTGAGCGGCTCTTCCTGGCGACTTCTTCGGTCTGGGTGTGGTGGTGGGTGTGTGGTTGCAGTGGGCGTGGCTGTAGTGGGACGGAGTCCGGGGAGTCATCATACCTCTGAGAGTAGGGGCGACCTCATTTGTGGTGTCAACTGAGAGTCTGGATGGAGTGTGAGGGACCATCACAGTCGATCCTGCACAGATAGCCAAAAAATAGTGTACAGAATGACAACACTTGCACGTCACTTTCCTAGTATATCAACTGGTATGAATGCCTTACGCCAGGTGTGATGATGACTTCTCCGTTTGAAGACGCCTTCCTGGATTGACCTGTTTGAACACCGTTCTTCTTGGCGGAGATAGTAGTACCTCACACAGTCTGCGTGGTCTTGCTGGGCAGGAACGACGAAATCGCCTCGAAATTCTGTGGGTAGCAACGCATACCTGACAACACACGTGAGTTTGGATGTTGTGAATTTGTGTGACTTTACTTTTCACGGAACATGGTTTTCTTCTCCCCGTCGGCCCAGACGTGTGGTGATTTTGGATGCGCGGTAGAACTGCCATGGGGTCTTGTATGAGGCCATTGTACTATATAAGAGAAGGCCAGTTCTCTCCTCTGGTCCTGCCCGTACTGCACCATCGCAGTATGAGGGCGTGGGTCGGCGTCTCATGTCGTAGTCCTGTGTGCTCTCTTCCTGTTCAATCACAGCTTGTCGGGGCATTGCAGGAGTCTACTCTCTCCGCTCCCGTGACCTGTACCATACTCCAGGGTCTAGAGTCGAACAACTCCGAACCCACGCTGGTTCAGCAAGCCTCTAGACACGGGTGCCGCAGGCCAAGCGAGGGAGAGGACGTATCGACAGCGGTCATGAGAGAGTTAAGTACGAGTAATGGGTGTGTGTACTCACCATCAGTCTCTGCTCTTGCTGCTCTCTTCGGCGGACCTTCACATGCCGCGTGACGTTCTCTTCCGTCACAAATAAACACAGTCCCTCTGTTCTTCGAGTCGCCCTGCTCTGAGAGAAGAGAGAGAGAAGAGCAGAGTTGTCGTGGTTTCTGTCGGTGGCAAATGGAGTCGTGTTACGCTTTCTCTGTGAGCTGTCTCTCAATCTTGTCCACAGTCTGCTTCCTCCACTCCTCCTGGTGGTCATCGTGACGTCTGTCACACAGCAGCACGTCCTGCCACGACGAGGGTCGGGGAGATGGATCTACTGTGGTGAGTGCCAGGGAACAGACGGAGTGTGAATGTGACACAACCGTTCGCTACTGTGTCGCTCTCCTCGTTTTGTTCTTCCGATCAGTGACAAGCCGCAGTTTAGAGTCGAAAGTGGCGATGTCTACAAACACCAAACCAATAGGCATGTCTTTTCATAAACCCCCAAACAAGAGGTTTTGGTGTACTGGCAACTATGTTGAAATAACCAGGGGCTTCCCACGGCTGAGCGTAGAGTGGCTGGAGAGAGAGAGAAGAGGGAGAGAGAGGAGTGGAAGAGGATGAGAGAGGAGAAGAGGAGAGGGAGTGGAAGGAGGGAAGAGGGAAGTGGAGGACTCACTGAAGCAGTATTGGGTGATAGAGGAGGCAGGGAGAGGCGATATGTGGTACAACACAGCATGAGCCGTCCGAGCCTTCACCTGCAGGTGAGACTCACTTGAACTCAGGCCAACAGAAACTGGCATCCAGATACCCAGTTTGCCAAAAATACCGCCTAACCTTGTTCTCGGAGTACACCGACTCCAGAATAGAGCGTGTGTTTGGCAGTGACCTCGCATCTCCTCCGCGCCCGTAGCAGTGGGGGAAGACACGCCCTCCTTCCTCTGTCCCTCCCTCTCGGCAGGCGAGGGGAGAGGGGAAGAATGGAGCGGGGAGGAGGAGAGGAAATGGTGTCCTCCAATTCCTCGCCTGCCTCTTCTGGCAGGGGCGGCAATCTGGGCTCTGTGGCTGCAATCTCACCTGTCAACCCGCCTCCATCCTCAACAGGGAGCTGTTCCTTGGTCAGTGGGAGGGACCCCGAGGAAGTGGGAGGAGAGGAGGTTTGTAGGACGGGTGAGGCGGCTGCGGTGGCTTCTCCTCCTCATCCACCGTCAAGACATCTTCATCTTCTTCCCGTCACTGTCAATATCTTCCAGGTAGGCACGCAGCCCCAGCCCCTGAGAGTCAGATGAAGGAGGAAACATACTTTTGGAGAGGGAGAAAATAAAGAGCACTCAGAGAGTGCAGCACAACAACAGCTTAGTGACCTTGGTGTGACCCAAACATCATCTGATTAGTCACAATGTAGTGTGGTATTGAATTGATTTAATTCGGCTACAATTGAAACCTAATCCATCTCAAACTCTAGAGACATGCTATATACACTGGCAAGTGTTGGTTGCACTGACACGAGGTGGACTGGAGATGGAGTGGTGTGGCGGACTGGGATGACCTCTCACTACAGACCCCACCAATGGTACAGAATCTGCACCACTCGGGCCGTCCAGCTGCATGTGTCTCTCAGGAGACGAGGTCGTCTTGGTGGGGGCGTCCCCCTCCCCGGCATTGGTGTTGTTGACTTCGATTGCTAGGGTCTCCTCAGACAAGGAGAGAGAGGAGTGATGGTACGAGGGTAGGGGGGAGTGGAGGTGAAAAGGTCGCGAATCGGACATCTCGCTCTTGAAGAAGGCAGTCCAAACCTAGCAGAAGGAAGAGAGAGAGAGAGAGAGAGAGAGAGTAAACAGTGGAGGAGAAAAATAGATGGAGAGAAAAAGGACACTCACTAAGCTATTATGGGCACCGTTACTGTATATATACCAACCTTTCTCTCTTGGCCCCCCTGATCCCAGAGCCCATGTTGTGTTGGTCGTATCTGTGATGAAACCTGCAGCCAGCCAATACAACGTATGTACCAACACACATATCAACATTCAGACTATTGCAATACATGTGTGCATTAACTGGGAGGAATACTTTGGCTAGCTACCAATGCTCTAAAGTTAAGTGGAATTTCTCTGCACAGGTTTTATTAAATGGACAAAAGTGTGTGGAAAAAGTTCTTGGTAGGTAGGAAACAGCTCATAAACTTTGCTCTCACAATTGACTACTGAGAGTAGTACTTATGTACCTATCCTTGCTGGGTTCTCTGTTGTTGTATGTTTCCCCTGAAACTCCAATAACATGGAGGGCCTCTTACGGACCCTCCCAGTGCAGCGTCTCGCTCTCTTGCACAGAAGAGGAAGCAGAAAGAAGACGTAGTGGGCGCTAATTAAAGATTGCGCTACGACAGACGTCGCAGTACTGTTATAGTTACTGTACCAGACCGCCCCCGTATAGAGTAGACTACACGACCGAACTAAGCCGTGCAGTGTCCAGTGAGGCAGTTAGATTCAAGAGGGGTAGAGGGGACGACGGTAGGCGCACGCGACCACCCCCACTGCTCCCCGTTCCCCGGCTCCAGACTTACGTGGAGACTCTGCGGGGCCCGTCTGGGTCCGTACGTCGCCCCGTTTTCACTCGCTGTCTTTCACAAAAAAGACCTGACCATAACAGTTCGCCGGGGCGATAGAGAATCACGAACCGCCAACAAGTAGTAAAAACAGCGTCATTTTACGACTCTCTACTGCACACGTGATATCAACGTATTGCACGTGCGCCCACAACGATTGGCGTAATTCACACAGCAGCCGGTCGGCGCCCGCTCTGTTGCGTAGCGAGTATATAGGTCAATCAGGTCGTTCGTTGTGCATGTGACCGTCTCAGCAGGTGTAGCTAGCTGTGAGCGTTGCTTTTGTTTGCGAGTTTTCTCTCTCTTTGCCGATTGTCTGCAATTCTGTGGCTGGAACCGGGCTCTGTGAAGTAGGTGTACGCGATCTCTAGCAGCGGAATTCTTGTCGCTGTAAGAGATGGTAGTTGTAGGAGGTGTTTTGGAGGTGTGTACCATCAGTGACTTAGATTTTCTTCCGCCAGACGACCACGAGAGAGAGGAGAAAGTAAGTTGATCTGTCGGCAATAAGTAGTTTGTCCTTATTAAAACTTCTTCATCACAGCCGGTGGGTATTGGACGCTTCATTGCATTCGACCACCTCACCTTCTGGGTCGGGAATGCCAAGCAGGTCAGTACATAACCATGGCAGTGTGTTGGTCAAACCTCTGTGTCTCTCTTCCTCCAGGCTGCCTACTACTACTGTGCCGTCATGGGGTTCAGACCCATGGCCTACAAAGGCTTGGAGACCGGCGAGAGAAAGGTAGTCTCTCATGCCGTCAGACAGAATGATGTAAGTCTTATTTACTGTGAATGCCGCGACACATTTTCAACTCTGATATAATATTGTGAATGAGAGTACAAAGGTACAACAGTGCAATGAAGAAGGCCAAGGACTAAGCACTTCCCCTCTTCACTGCTCCATCTCTCTCTCTCCTCTCTGTCAGGTGATCTTTGTGTTCCAGTCGGCTCTGTTCCCCGGGAACGAGGAGATGGGTGCCCACCTCACTGCTCACGGTGATGGAGTAAAGGACATTGCATTCAGTGTAGAAGACTGCAGGGCTCTCTACAGGGTGGGTTACTCCAGAAACTGAATCAAAACAGGCGTTACATGGAGTGGAGCCCTCCTCTTACAACACCACCCTGAAATGAGGACACCTTGTCTTACAATTCTTCCATGCAATTTAACCCCTGAAATAAGGACACCTCCTGACATGGAGACTATCTACTGTCCTATTAGTGTCTGGATTAGAGGGAGTTCCACTGTATTTGACTGCAGAGAGCAGTGGAGAACGGAGCAAAGGGAGTGAAGGAGCCCTGGGAGGAGAAAGATGAACATGGCTCTGTCGTCATGGCTACAGTCCAGACAGTAAGACACCACTCCCCCACTATTTTCGCAATCAAATATTTGCACTGCACCCTCCACTGTCTGTCAATCCATGCAGTACACTTGCTTGGGCTCGCCTTCCCCTCGCTTGCTTAACAATTTTAAGCTTTCCTATTTTTCATAATACACACCATTTTTACTAAACTCAGATTCTTCAGCACGCTGTAACCCCCACAATTCCTTTCTCCCTCTCAGTATGGAGACACCACCCATACCTTCATAGAGAGGGCCGACTATTCCAGTGATCACTTTCTCCCTGGCTTTGTGATGGGGTCTCCCAGTCACCCAGTTCTGGACACTCTGTGAGACAGAGAGAGAGAGAGAGGAGAGAAAGAGTTGCATGCAGTCGATGCTTCTTTGATTTGAAACTCTGTTTCAACGACCCATTGTAAAGTTTTTTCTAAGTGTTGTCCTGAGTGTCACTGAGTTGTTCATTTGCCTAATTCGTGTGGTTCACATGACCTCTTCATTTCCTCCTCTGCCAGACCTCCTGCCAACATCCTGTTTGTGGACCACGTGGTGGGGAACCAACCTGACCTTCAGATGAACCCAGTGGCCGACTGGTACGTCAAGACCCTCCAGTTCCATCGATTCTGGTCCGTGGACGACTCCATTGTAAGTCCAAGAAATATTTAGGCTCTGTTTTGCTTAAAAGTGTGGGGGAAAGGATGTTTTGTTGTTTGAGCAGGTGTGCAAAAATCGTTATGCGTGCAGTTTAAGTTCTGCCCCTTCCCTTCCTCCTCCCATCTCTCCTCTTTCCCCGTCAGATCCACACTGAGTTCAGCAGTCTGCGATCGGTGGTGGTCACTAATTGGGAGAGGACCATCAAGATGCCAATCAACGAGCCGGCTCCGGGGAAGAGACTCAGTCAGATTGAGGAGTACGTCCGTCACTACGGTGGGGCCGGCGTCCAACACATCGCCCTCCGCTCAAACAACATCATTGAAACGGTATATACATCATCCAGGATTGTTTCTCTCTATCGCTCTAATTTCCCATGATCTCACTACGTAATAGTTTTATGACATTTCTATTGTAAAAAAAGTGTCTGTATTAGGAAAGGAGTCCTTTTTTAGGGGTTAAATTGTATTTCAGAACTGTTTTTGGGGGAGACGAAATGTGTCGAGTTTTTCTAATTTAAGGGAAACAGTAGCTCATCAGTTAAATGATTGCTCTGCTCCAGATCACAAACCTGAGGGCTCGTGGAATGGAGTTCCTGAAAATCCCCGACACCTACTACACAGAGCTGCGACGGAGACTGGAGAGAGCCAAGATCACAGTCAAGGAGAACATGAACGACCTCCAGCGACTGTGTATTCTGGTGGATTTCGATGACAACGGCTACCTCCTCCAGATCTTCACCAAGCCGATGCAAGACAGACCGACTCTCTTCTTGGAAGTGATAGAGAGACACAACCACCAGGTGTCTATCTAGATCCCGGGGCACTCAAGTGTTGTTAGTTGTGTGATTTTGTTCTCATGTGTCCAGGGGTTTGGAGCAGGCAATTTCAAGGCTCTGTTTGAAGCAATAGAGTTGGAGCAAGCCAAGAGAGGAAATCTCTAAGAAACACTCAGTATATGTCACACCGCTGTTATTATGGACTTCAGTCACCACTGACTTCAGTTTTGTATGAATGTTTATTACGGTGGACGTATAATACGTACGTCGTCATTTGCTATAGGGCTCGCTGCGCATGCGCGCCGAGGGTTGAGAAAGCCGCGGCTGCGACGAATGACTGCGCATAGGTATCTCTGAGATCCAGAGCTAGCTTCCAGCGAGATGTGGAGCGAAGAAAAGAAGATTCTGTGCCACGAGGCCATTCTTGGTAAGTCGCTGTCGAAAGAGATGCGTCGTCCAGAGAGCCTTGTGTTGTGAGCTGAGTCGTCTTTGCAGAGGTGGGGGAGGGGCTGCGGTGTATGAGAGAGGCGGAGGTGGAGCAAGAACGGCAGAAGGCCATCCGCTCCACGGAGGAGGTGGTGAGGAGAGAGGAGACCCAGAGGAGGGATAGAGAACTGGAGGAGGCACGGCAACAGTGGAAGAGAGAGAGACAGCAGCTGTTCGTCGAGGCCCACCAGAGCCAACTTAGAGCCGTAGCCAAACATGCAGCGAGTCTGGAGAAGGAGCTGAGGAGAGAGTTCGCAGATAGGACGAGGAAAATGGTGGCAGAGCACGAAGCTGCGCTGGAGGCGGCCGTGAAGAGCGCGTGGGAGGAGGCTGGGAGAGCGAGGGAAGCGGCAGTCGAGGAGGCCAGGTTGGAAGAGAAAGGGAGAGCCAAAGCAGACGCTGAGAGGGTGATGGAGGAAGTAGCCGAAGAGCGACGCGCAGGGAAACGTCGAGCAGAGCTGGAAAAGGCCAGAGAGCTTGAGGTGCAGTTTGTCCAACTGAAAGAAGAGAGAGAAAAGGCCCTGGAGGAGCAGCGGCGTGAACTGACGGAGGAAATGGACCGTAGATTGGCAGTCGCGGGGAAGGAGTGCGAGGAGAAATGCTCCAGACTGCGGGAACAGTGCGAGGCAGAAGCGGCGGCCACTCGAGGGGTCCAGGAGGAGCTGGTGAAGATGACGGAGCTCAAGACAGACTGGGAGGAGAGGTACACCAGACTCCGGGCTGAGTTCACTGACTTTATCGACAAGATCCCTGGCTTCAATGCAGAGTACTTGCTCAAATAACACTACCAGTTGAAGTATAACTACTTTCCCTAGACACTTTCATAATAGTGAACAGGACCAAATGAACCAGCTGTTGTCCAATCTGGCAATGCCATAGTAACTAATTGCATGAGCACGTTACAAACAGAGGCTATAATACGTAGCAAACTCTATGATCAGACACAGATCTACTACTATATAGCACTGCTGAAACTCAGCAGAAGAAACCACACGTGGTTTGGGGAACCTGAGCTGCAAAGGGGAAAAAAACTTGCTGAATAGTCTAGGAGTCAGTGCTGTCATTCTCTAGCTCTGATATCAGTTCCTGGAACTTGTAGACAAACCAAGAGGCTCCTTCCTTTACCTTCTCCCTCACCACATTGCCTCCGAACCCAATGAAAAGGTCCTGTGTTAGGGAGGATGGGAGGTGAGGAGAGGGAAACAATCACTAACTGCTGGAGGAGAGGCTTCCATGTCAGTAGCTCCATCACCTATCATGACAACCCTGGGTCAGAAAAGATTAACTCTACATTCCCTTATCAAATTACTAGCCATATTCAAACTCACGTCTTGTGTTTTTTCTTGATCTCCGCAACCACTGTGGGTTTGCCTCCAGATCTACTGGTTGGCTGGCTTTCATCAAATCCTCTATACTCACCTAGTGGATAGTCAGGTTTAGTCTGAGGCGAGATTTGGCTATTGCACAGACCGTTTTCTGTGAATAGTAGTTTGTTGGCAAACACATGGTCTCGGGGGATGCCAAGATGGTCTGCTAGCGGCTCTATCACCTCTCGGAATCCGCCGGACACCAAGTATATCTCGGCACCTCGCTGAAACAGCAGTTTTACGAGTCTCCTGCAGAAACGGGCAAGAGAGTGTGCAAGTAGTTATAGTGTATGTGTGGCTCACTGCACATCAGGTGTGAGAATGGTGTCTGGGGTGTGAAGTGACTTGAACTTCTCAATCTGCATCAATATGACAGCAACTGATCTGTACACAATATATGAACAAGCCTCTTCCAGCTGTACCTGGTCTCGAGACGGTCTAATGATGTTGAGTCGTTGGCTCAGGGATTCTCTGAACGTCAGAGAGCCTCCCATTGCCTGCCGGGTCCTGAGTAGAACCGATATATAGTCCACAAACTATAGCCAGCTAGAGGCACACTTACAGCTCTGTCACCCGCTCCTCCGCCCCGCAGAGCCTGGCAAGTTGGTCGATACCCTCGATACGTATCAGAGTACTATCCACGTCGAAGCAAACGGCGTCTGCTTGCCTCCATACCTCGCGCGGCGCTAGTTCAGCCATGATGGTATTAGAAAACAATAATGCGCATGTCACAAAACACTGTTCAGTGAGAGAAGGCGGGGCTGGCAGGAGCTGGGGATGCTTTGCTAAGTCTCCCAGCAACGGAGGGCCGCGGAGGAGGTTTGGCGAGCGGTGAATCAGAGAGTTTTCCTTGGCCCAGCAGTACAGACACCAGTGAGCTGCTATGCCAGAGAGGAACGGGCTGCATCAGCTGTAAAATGAACGCTAAATCATGATTCCCAATGCAGTTTTTTTTCTATGCTCACCTCTTTTTTCCCGTTCTCTCCGTTCTTGGTCTGTCTGGCCTTCTGTACTATTGCCTCTCTCACCTCTGTGTTCTGCTCCTCCAGCAGAAGAATTCTAATGGTGTTTGCCGTAATGTGCTTGTGGAGATCGCGACCACTGTTGGAGCCGTTCTCAGGATGAGTCACTATCAGACGACAATTCTCTCTCTCTTTTTCCAGCTCAGCAGAGAGAGAGGTCAGCCGCAGTTCTAGATCCAGCAATTCCTCACTCAGCCTCTCCTGCTCTCTGGCTGAAGCTACAGACTTCTCCTGCGGGAAAAGACCACGGGAGTCAACCACTGAGATTTGTATAATTAATCAACTTGCCTCGTGTTCTGCAACTTGTCTCTGCAGAGAAGAGCACTCGGACTGCAGCTCCTCAACCCTGCAGAGCATCTGGCCTCTGGTCCTAGTGGTGCTTGCCAGCTCTCTCCTCAGGTCTTCAGTCTCTCTGTCCATCTCCTCCAGTCTCCCCAGAACCTCTCTCTGTCTGCTCAGCCCTGCCTGGTGTGGACCATCTCTTACCATAATAGCTAGAGAAGGCATATTATTTACCTGGTGTTTTCTCTGGATGCTCTGGTGTAGAGAGGTGGCCTTGCTCAGTTGGAGTCTGTCTGTCTCTAGTTGCTCCTTACACTCAACCAGCTCTCCCTGCAGTCTCTTCAGCTGGCTCTCCAGGGCTGCCTGACCCCCTCGCAGAGATCTTTCCCTCTCTCTCACCTCCAGCAGCTCCCTCTCCAGACTCTGCTGTTGCTTCTCTATAAGACAACAATAAGGCATCAGTATGTGCATGTGTCTTTACCCTCATTGCCTAAAACTGACCAATATCAGCAGAGGAAGCTATAAGTTTGTCTCTCTCCATTTTGACAGAGGTCAACTGGTCTTCCAGTGTATCTCTGTGTTCCTGGACACTCCTCAAAGCTCCCACCACTTCCCTCAGTCGAACAGAGCCTGCCTCGCGACACGAAGCCAGCTCCATAGCACGGTTCCTCTCACTCTCTGCTGCTTTATCTTGCAGTTCACTCATCTGCAGTGACACATGACTGAGTTTTGACTGCAGTCTTTCTTCTTGCCATTTCTGTTGGACCAAGGTGTCTGTGAGGCTGACTAGCTCTTCCTCCTTGGTCTCATGGGCTCTCCTGATGGCATCTAAATCACTCCGCACTGCCCCGCTCCATTTCCCTGGATCCAGGGTCCCTAATTCTGCCTCCGTGTCCCAGTTACTGTCTGAGAGATGCGATGACAGGTGAAGAGACTCGCAGAGTTCTTGCAGTTTGCCTGCAGTTGATGTCAGAGTTTTCAGGGTGTAGGTGCACCTCACACACATGGCGAATGAGGTTTCGGCTGTCTGGGTGGATACAGTGGTACACTTTGGACCAGTTTGGTCGCTGTTGGTCGCCAGTTGCGGGCTCCGGAACGAGGTTTGTGGTAATGGAGTAGCTGGCTGTGGTGTACTTGGCTCATGCATGTTGGTGCAGGATGACTGTCTGCTACTCTGTGTGGATGCCAGTCGACTGATTCTGAGAGTGCTCCTAGCCTCGTACGGTACCACACTGTCAATTAAAAAGACACTACTGCATTCAATTGAATAGCAGGAAAATTTCAAGGGATTAACTTTGATTCATGAAACCATTATATATGACACAGAAGTTTTTCCCTACAATTATCTTCACATGTTGTTTAGGAGGCTGAAAGAGCTATGAGAGCACTAACCTGGAAAGGACAGAGCCAGGTCTGAGGTGAGAACCAGAGGTGGCATGATCCAGAGAGCTCTGCAGCAGCTGAACCTGATCCTGAGCCCTCTCGAGAGCCACGGTCAGCAAAGACACCTGCTCATCTCTGGCTGATAGCTGGGAATATTTACCACGAATGTTCACCATGATGTTGGGTGGGTACACTGAGGTCTACCTGTGTTTGGAGCAACTGTGTTTTTCGTCTCGTCTGCAGCAGTTGTCGGCAGAACTTCCTTACAGCAGAGGAGAGGGAGAGAGGTAGGGGGTGGGAGGGACGCCGCTCCTCGGCCTCGGTCCACAGTTTCAGACTGGCTTGCAGGAGAAGCAGCAACCTGTCGACGATTCCTTCTAGAAGGCTCGCTCTCTCCTGCTCCTCAGAAGGTCCTAACACGTCCTCCAGCGACAGAGAGGCGGAGAGTCTTCCGGGGAAACGCCAGGAGGGAACGTCAGGTCGAGTACAATTAAGAACCTCCTCCAAAGCACCGTGAATGGTACGAATATCACTGCGCAGCATATCCTTCGAGCTCCCCATCTTTTTCTTCGCCTGAGTTTCTCTTGGACCGATTGCGCATGCCTCTTGTTTACCCGGTGCCGGTTGCCACGGTAATAGCACACGTGTTGGTAAGAATTGTTTAGGTGCGCGTAAAATAGAAATCCACAGCTGACCGATGTTGTCCCCGACTTTGTTAATTTCCACGGCCGCTCTCTACTGGAGTCTTCGCCATCTTTTGCAGTGTTTCTTACAGATTCCTGCTGTTAGACTTCGTCTATCAGAAGCTGATGTCGCCGACGTTTCCACCAAGTAAAGTTTCCTGGCTCCAAGCAGTTTGCTAGTCTTAGCCGTGCGTGCTTTGGTTCATCTGCAGGGTCCTCAGCGGTCTTCACGCATCTCTGGCCAGTGGAGCTGGACTCTATATCATGTGGGAGACCATGGACGACTGTATTTTCAGCAGGTAACCTTCCACAATCGTCTTCCGTGTGTGAGGGAACCGTGCCGTCTCTAGGTCTGCAGCTATTGCTCCGTTCACGTACGTCGGGGTGTCTTACATGTCGTGCGACGTTCTAGCGATGTACCTCACCTACTGCAAGACTAGGAGACTATCTTTCACCAACACACAGAGTGTCTCGCTCTTTCTGAAATCAAGACCTCTGCTTGTTTTCCACCATCTGTTTCTCATATTTGGCTACCCCTTACTAGTGGTAGGCTCTCTCTAGCTGTTTCTCTCTGATAGTTATGCTATTCCCCCCTCACTCCCTCTGTGTGAAATGATAGTATGACGGTCTTAGGAAAGGAATGGGTGATTTCCTGATTGGAACACTGTTCCTTCGTGAACTTAGCTCTCCGCTGCTCTCAGCTGCAAAGATCATGAGGAAAGTGAGTCCTCGATGCATATTATCGTCATGTAAGACTCTTGAAAATTCCTCAGATCAAAATGGAAGGTTCAGTCTTGTACCAAGTGAACGGAGTGGCTCTGGTCCTGCTGTTCTTCCTGGTGCGTATCGCCAGCACCCCCCTCACCCTCCTCTTCTACTCCTCCCAGCACCATGACTGGAGCCTGGTCCAAGCTCTCTCCGCCATGAGACCCATCTGTCATCTCATGCTCTCCGCTGAACTGACTCTCCAGCTATACTGGTTCTCACAGATACTGTCCACTGCGTCGAGAAGAAAAACGAAGCCATCCTAAGCCAATATTGTTTTATTCGCCATTTGGACGCGCAGATTTTTTTGATTTAGCTGCTGTGGCGACCACGCCTTTCACTTCACTCTTTCCTCTCGTCTCGATCTCTCTCCATCTCTGGTCTGGGCAATGGTCAGCGGTCTGGTGATTGTATTGTGCAGCACGCTGTTCCACCACGGGCTCTACCAGGTCCTTAGGCTGGGGCTAGTTCGGCGTGTCTGCTTACCGCTCGTGAGATGGCGGACCGGCAGGAATGACCTGACGTTCTCCGAGGGAGACGTTTTGTACACTGCAGAATTGTGAGTCGCTATTGAAGGGTCGCAGTTTATGGCTTTCAGTGGCTTACTAAACTCTGCAGTTATTCGTGTTGCAGCAGCCTTTCAATCTAGCTAGGTTTGCAGCCCGGATCTTTGTCCGCTGTTTAGCTACAGTTTGGGGTGTGTCACATCTCCAATAGTGTCTGTGGTTTTGCTAGATAAACAGCAGAGAGCGTAGGGAGGAGTAACATGTCTTTCTCTGCAGGTTGGTGTCCTTCACGAATGGAGTTGTTGGTAGTATCTGCTCCATCATAGTTTTGTGGCAGGCTAGGGAAGATGTCATGCTGTCGAGGTGAGTAAATAGATTTGTGTTACAACCTCATTTGGATCTCATTTGAGGTGTATCACTAAGTACAGTATGTATGTAGCAATCTCTACTCCCTAGGGCACCCCTCCTTGTACCCTGTACCCACTGGATAGCGCAGTACATGCTCTATGACAACTATGCCATGTACAACTCCGCCTACTGCCGTAAGGACATCAGGAAATACCCCCATCTCACCACTCGACTGGCTGTGTTTGCTCGGAAGAAGTGGTCCATGATCCTACACCACTTTCTATTACTGGGGTTTGGATATGCACTGGTAGTGGTAAGTTTAGCACTTTGACGAATGTAAAACCAAGAAAAAGAAGCACCTCTTGAAATGCTGTATATAGGATTTCTACTAAGAACGTGAAGTATGCTTGTTTCCCCAGTATCCATGGATAAGGAAGAATAAAGGAGATTTCATTATTGGAGCGTTCTTCCTGCGAGAGGTGTGGAACCCGTTTCAGAACATGGCACAGATCTTAAAGCAGGTGAGCAGCAGCTCTTAACAGGAATGGTGTCGGTCGACATTATACCTTCTGACCCATCCGGTGAAAATCACTGTCTGAAAACATTTCACCTACTCTCCCCCAATCCTTGCTTTATATAACACGTTTGTGTCCCCCTGCTTTGTTCTCTGTCTTATTGTTTTCTTCATAACCTGTTTATTATTCCTTCTTGCTTCCTCTTTCCTTCCTCATATATATCTTCTCCGCCGATGGGTTGTCTGCAGTTCCAAATGCATGGGACAACTCTCTACTTCCTCAATGGAGTGTCTCTGGTTGTGGTCCAGCTGGTGGTGAGAGTCCTCAACTGGCCACTCGTCATCCTCATCTACACAGCTCAGTACCACAACTGGGACTTTATCGCCTCTTTCAACAGTCTCTACGCCATCTGTATAGTCTCCACTGCCATGTGGCAAATCCTCGAGTTCTACTGGTTTTGGATGATTGTACAACTAGTCGCAGGTTTCAAAAATGGCAAGAGCAAGACACATTAGGAGATAATGTATTACAGCTATTTTTAATGCTCACCCATCGTTTTTAAACGAAAGTTGTGTTCGACAATAATTTATGGTTGTGCAAAACAACATAATACGGTAGCAGTATTACATTGTGTGACTCATGTATGCGTCCAAGAAAGCCTGGGATAATGCTATTGGTGGGGACAATGAAAGGACTCCCAGAAAATGACCTAATGATTGAAATCGGGTTCATCTGATGCGACACATGCAGAAGAGGATGGGAAGGAACACGGCAATGGCAACAGTGATGGGCATAAACCAACTCTCGTCCGAACTGTAGGGATTCAGAGTTCGCGGACCCGAGAGTTTCTTAAACTTGTTGGGAGTGGAGGGTTTGTTCCATTCGTCTGTGTCCTGGTCTTGGTCTTGGTCCAGAGGACCTGGGTCTTCCTGCTCCAGCTTAGGAGGAGGCAGAGCTGGGATATCTGGACAGAGAGGGGGTGGGGGAGTTGGGGTAGCGAGAATAATTGGGTTAACTTCCATATCTAGTATTTTTCTACACACCCACACACACACATACCTGACTGCTGAAATGGACCCTTTAGAACAACTATTGCGTTCACTTTTGGATTGTCTGCTGGTCCCTAGAGAACAGAGGATGGACATACAGCACAGGGGACAAGTTGCTCTCTCCCTTGCTGACTCTCACAAACGAAACGACTCCCCCCCCTTCTCTCTAAGTGCTTACTCATGTGGACACCAATTCTATTAGTATAGTAGCTGACCTTTGCAAACTGGATGGAGAGAGTTCCGTCAAAGTCAATGGTGGCATCTCTCACAGAGAGCTGCTGTCCCTCCACAGTGAATGGAACCACCTCATCGTGAGCCACGGCCTTCCCCACTCGGGCAAAGATGTCCAGGTCTTGTATGACAGGCACTCCATTCAACACCACATCAAATACCTGCAACCAGTGCAAGACACAGAGAGATTGTGGTAGTTCCAGTTCCGGCTAGCACCACTGAGGTATATATATACCTTCTGGCCGGGTCCCGTGAAATAGACCTCGGCGAACTTGAGGATAACCAGGTATTCCCCGTCTCCGCGGACTCGTGTCGAGTAGCCGAAGGTGGAGGTGTGGTAGCGCTCCGTCTGGTAAAGCGGCATGTCGTCTGGGTGGACGCGGCTGATTATGAGGCTCTGGCCGAAGCTGGATGCGATGCCCGTCGGGTTGCCGTCGCTACTGTACTTTATTCCGTAGCGGTCCGTGTGCTTGCCTCCTCCGCAGTTTACGGCGAATATCAGGTCGTGCGCCGTGGAAGACTTTACTAGTAAGAGGAGGGATGTCAGAGAAATGGCCAGGGAATATAAGATCTCCATGTTCTGCAGAGAAAGTCGGCTTTTGCAGCTTCTGCAGCAAGCTACTTCTAAATAACGCTCACCTCTTTTGTCGAGTTTGCGGTAAAAACTGTGCGCATGCGTGAGAGTACAGTGCACGTGTGGCAGTACAAATTCGAGAGAAGGCTCGAGAAAAGCAGGGACAGATGTCGGCAGTGAAGAGCCTAAACCCCAAGGCAGAAGTAGCTAGAGCAGCTCAGGCTCTTGCCATCAACACGTCCGGCGCTCGGGGTCTGCAAGATGTGCTGAGAACCAATCTGGGACCCAAGGGAACTCTGAAAATGTAATGTTCGTGATTTTGTTCGACCCCCGGGGGCTAAAACGTTTTTCTCGCCGCAGGTTGGTGTCAGGGGCGGGGGATATAAAGCTGACGAAAGATGGCAACGTTCTCCTCCATGAAATGGTGAGGGTTGATGTGATCCTCTGGGCATGTGTAATACTGTGTGAGACTCCGCCCACTCTCTCTCCCTCCAGCAAATCCAGCACCCCACGGCCTCTCTCATTGCCAAAGTGGCCACCGCTCAGGTCAGTCCCTGTCAGTCTTATGCAACAGATTTTGTTTTCTGTGGAATGCTAAAACCCACTGATCCACAAAATTATTGTAATGCGGCACTCAGGATGACATAACAGGAGATGGAACTACGTCCAATGTCCTCATCATTGGAGAGTTACTGAAACAAGCCGACCTCTACATTTCAGATGTTAGTCCAGCCACCTCTTTCTTTGTCTCTCTTTTGCTGAGTGAGGTAACGTGATATCGTGTCCTGTCCACAGGGTCTTCACCCAAGAATAGTGGCAGAGGGTCTGGACAAGGCAAAGGATAAGGCTCTCAGTGTAAGTCCATGGGACGAGAGACTAGTCACGAGGGAGGCCGGTAGTCTTTTGTAAACAGCCACACCACCCACAGGGAGAAGTTGATAGTCATACAATAGTTTTGTGGTAGTTTCCGATCCATTTGAGATCTAATGCAGCGACTATGTCAGCGTGTATGTAGCGGCCCTGTGGTGTGGTGGAGATCTAGTGTGTTATCAGTCACCAGAGCCTTTGATTCAAGTGTATGACGAGGGGGTGGGGTCAGAGTACGAGGTGAGTCTGGTGCCTTGTGTTCCTCCAGGTGTTGGAGGAGGTGAAGGTGAGTAGAGAGATGGACCGCGAGACCCTGCTCCAGGTGGCCGGCACCTCTCTCAGAACCAAACTGAGTCAGAAAGTGGCAGACATTGTGACCGAGGTATATACGCTCCCTCTCCTTATCGTCGACCAGCCGTGTGTGTGTGTGTGTGACCTGTGTAGATAGTGGTGGATGCCGTGCTGGCAGTACAGGGAGAAGGAGAACCAATTGACCTTCACATGGTGGAGATCATGGAGATGACTCACAGGACAGACACTGAGACTAGGTCTGCTCTCACCACACTCTTCCCTGCAGCTCCCAGCTTCCTCCCCCCTCTCTTTCTCACCTCTCTCCTTTCCTCTCTCCCATTCCTCCAGATTGGTGAAGGGTCTGGTTCTAGACCACGGAGCAAGGCACCCTGACATGAAGAGGAGAGTTGCGAATGCCTACATCCTCACCTGCAACGTCTCTCTCGAGTATGAGAAGAGGTGAGGTGACCTCTGTCTACTTGTCACTCCCTCACCTCACTCCCTCCCTCCCTCCTTGTCACACCCTCACCTCACTCCCTCCCTCCTTGTCACACCCTCACCACTCACACTGTGGTGGTCGTCCAGTGAGGTAAACTCTGGGTTTTTCTACAAGTCAGCTGACGAGAGGGAAAAACTGGTGGCTGCAGAGAGGAAATTTATCGATGATCGCGTTATGAAAATCATCGAACTAAAGAACAAAGTTAGCAATCTGCTCACTTTTATTACAAGTCTTGTGATTTTCCAATTATTTCAGGTTTGCAGCAGCAATGATAAAGGATTTGTGGTCATCAATCAAAAGGTTTGTGGGGGATTTCCTACGCAAGTGGCAGGTTGAACTTGCACACACCTTCATTACTGATTATTTTCGTAAACTTTTGTGTAATATCAGTGGGCGAGATACAATCAGCTATAGTATGTATGTTAGAATAGTAAGTATTGTGTGTTGTGTAACATGCCTAGGGAATAGACCCCATATCACTGGACATGCTGGCCAGGGAAGGCATCGTAGGTCTGCGGAGAGCCAAGAGAAGGAACATGGAGAGACTCACTCTCGCCTGTGGGGGCGTGGCCATGAACTCGCTGGACGGCCTGGAGCCAGAGTGTCTGGGGTTCGCCGGGGTCGTTTATGAGCATGTCCTGGTGGGTGTGGCCTTCTTCCCCTCCGCTCATGTGAATGTCATGTGAATGTACAATAGGGAGAAGATAAGTACACTTTCATTGAAGATTTGGAGAACCCGAGATCAGTAACAATCCTGATCAAAGGTTAGCAAAATTTAACACTCCACCCCTTTTAATTCTTTCTCTTCTCTTCTTGCCTTTTTCCTATCGTTCCTCTTTGCCCCCCTGCTCCCATAAGGACCCAACAAGCACACCATAACTCAGGTGAAGGATGCCATTCACGATGGCCTCAGAGCTGTCAAGAATGCTCTCGAGGACAAGAGTGTTGTCCCAGGGGGCGGGGCGTTCGAGGTCGCAGTACACGCAGCGCTCACTTCGGCCAAGTTTCTCAACACCGTACCTGGGAGGGCAAAGTTCGGAGTCCGGGTCAGTGAGGGGGGAGAACCATGACTCCTTGATCTATTGCAGCTGTAACACTAGTAGAGATACAAGCCGAGGCGTTAATGTCTTTTCCTTCCTCTTCCTTTCTCCCTCTGTCTCTGCAGGCATTTGCCGATGGTCTGATGGTTATTCCCAAAACACTGGCACAGAACTCGGGGTTCGACCCGCAGGACACTACAGTCAAACTTCAAGATGCCTTTGTCACCTCCAAGTTACCTGTTGGACTCGATGTATCCACTGGTAAGAGCTACAATGCCTCAATTCTGGTGGACCTTTCTCTATATGTTGTCTCTATCAAGGAGAGCCCATGGTACCCCAGGAAGAGGGAGTCTGGGATAACTATCGTGTCAAAAAGCAGCTGCTCCATTCATGGTGGGTGACCTCATTTAGTCTCCCCAGACTCCCACTACCCTTTCCCTCCCCTCCCACCCTCTGTATCCTCAGCTCCACAATTGCTGGCAATCTGTTGCTGGTTGATGAGATCATGAAGGCAGGGATGTCTTCTCTAAAGCAGTAGTCACACGGACAACCTGCTAGATTGTTGTTGCTATCGTCTGTATGATAATAGGATATTATATCAGTTTACCCTCGGTGCACTTGGGTTGTATTACCGCGCGCGCGTAATGTTGAACGCGTCGGCGTTTTCGCGCATAACTTTCGCTTTTCGCAGGTTTTTCGACGACGCGAAAGAGATGTGTTTTCTGCCACGATTAGTAGCCTGGCTCGCTGCACTGCTTGTTCTGTCTGCACTGGACGTGCAGCATTCTGCAGCCGGGCATGCCTGCATACACGGATCGCGCAAGGAGCGGGTGAGGATTAGTAGTGTACGGCGAGTGACGGAAAAAATTTTCTGCAGTTGATTACAGGAGTGAGGATCGGAGAAAAGGCGGTAGTAAAGAGAGAGGCTAGGCAGCCGATGCGGTTCTTCACCCATCTCGACGTCACCATTACTGCAATGTCAGTTTCTTTTCCCTGCATGAGTGACGCCATAAACTCGTCCATTGTCTCCCCAGTCTTCCTGACACCAAGAGGCAAACCATATTGGTAATGTCCAGCCAATCTTTCCAACCCTGCACAATGCGAATGTTTTATAACCCATGAGGGCCATTAGCTATGTTAATTTCCTCTGCTCATGCAGGATGAAGTTATACCTTCGCTACTGGACTACCTCAGTGAAACACTCTCAGTGTCTCCTCTCAGCCAGCCCGTCCTTCTTGATTCGTACGTATACACCAGTCTAATGCAGCACACTAGCCTCTGGCACTGCATTATAGCTGCATGCATCATTATAGCATGATTCAATACTGAGACCAGTGATTGGGATAGTGTGCCATGACTCAGAGCTGTCCATGCCAAGATGAACAATAACTTCCTAACATGGAGCTGAGTTGGCCTCACTTTCTGTGTCTCTATTTCCCACAGCCAGTGCTCCCCAGAGGGGTTTTACCTCACCCCAGGAGGGAGACAGTGTGTGGAGACATGCCAGCCTACCATCTGTGGCACAGTTCGTGTTCCAAATGAACATCTGAAGGTCAGCTCTAACTAACTTACCACTACTAGCATTCTTGTACCTTGTCTAGTACCAGTTGTCTATGATTACACACCTGGACCATGTAGAGCCAGCTCCCCCCACTGGGATTTGTCCATACCACACGTAGTGGCAATTACCAACATATTCTACAGCTGCTGGGAGCCATCCTAATTGCTAGATGCTCGACATTCTTTGTTACGTACTACAGGCCTGTGTGGAGTGCCGAGGCAGGGGCAGTGGAGGTGAATGCTCTCCCAGCAACCCAGCAAAGGATGGACAAGGAGTCCCTAGCACTGACTTTGTCCTCTACATCTCTGCCAACCAGTCGCAGTGTCCAAAGGACTCCGAGGCAACCGTCTTGGCCTTTGCAAGTGCTTGTCAGTTGGAGGCCAGTCAGGACCGACCCATTGCTGGCTACATCAACTTCTGCCCCACTGCTCTCAAAGACACAAACAATGCCTACGTGTACAGTGTGGCCAAGCACGAGATGCTGCATGCGCTGGCATTCTCCTCCCAGCTATTCCCCTACTGGAGGCACCAGAACGGAGAGCCTCGCACACTTCGCAGCAGTTCAGGAGAACCACCAATTGACGAGTGAGCTCTCTACTAGTTTTTGGATTATCGTGTGAAATTTTGCTGCCCTCATTTTTGAGCCGTTGCTGGGCCCAAAATTTACAGCAGAGGGTGATAAAAGCCTTGAACATTTTCCCTATTGGTCCCTCTCTAGACATTTACGTATCTCCCACAGTTCAGATTCACCTGTAGCTGACAGCTCCACTGTGAAGACTTTGACCTACAATTCCTGGAGGACAGCTGGAAGAGGTCCCGTACAACACACCATCATTGCTCTAGCCACTGAAGCAATCCTGGTGAGCTCTGGCGCTCAACGATTGTGTACATTATGTGGTGGTATAATAGAGAGAAGGGAGGGCTCACTTTGGCTACCCAGAGCTGCAGGGAGTGGAGCTGGAGAACCAGGGGGGCGATGGCACTGCTCTCCAACACTGGGAGAAAAGACTCCTCGGAGTAAGAGTTTTTCACCTCACACCCACCTATAGCAGCTCTCACTGGCTCCTTTGAAAATTGTGGCGGTAAATAAAACTTGTAAATCAATGGCAATTTCACCTCACAGTACTGTAGCTTTTTCCCTTCCGTGTGTTGCCTCTCACCCTATACCCCTCTCTCTTGTTATGCAGAATGAAGCAATGACTGGCGTGTTCACCTTTGACCCTGTATTCTCTCGCCTCTCGCTGGCAGTGATGGAGGACAGCGGCTGGTACTCCGTAAACTACTCCTCCGCTTCCCCGCTGCTGTGGGGGCGGGGCAAGGGGCGGAGCTTTGTAGAAGAAGGCTGCGGTAACTTAGTGGAAGACACACATGATGAGTAAGTTTCTTTGGTTTGTGTTTGAAAGTGCTGTGTCATTACTGACGTTGTATAATATATAGAAGTAATCCATTCTGTGGAGTCCACGAGAGTAGCAACAGATTGGGCTGCACTCTTGGCAGAGGAGCAGTGGCTCAGTGTAACAGAGTCACCTTTACCTCACAGCTTCACCCAGGCTTTCAGGTACAGCCTCAGTTTACTGAGAGTTTACTGACTAGTTTACAGAGTCTCGTTCAGTATTTTGAGGGTGCGCCGAGAGATGGTCGGTGAGCTTCAAGTGACTGACTTCTGCCCCATGTATAGAGTGAGGGCAGTACAACCATGTCTCACCCAGCCACCAATTCTCTCTCTCTCTCTCTCTCTTTCTCAGGCATTCACCTACCAGTCAGGAGCAGGGACTAACTGCTCTGACCCAGCCAACCAGCAGGTGACTCGGGAGAACGTGAGAGGTGAGAAATATGGGTCTGGTTCTCGCTGCGTGGGGCAGGGAAGAGAGTGGAAGACCATCTCTGGAGGGTTCGTCTACTCCTCCAGTCAATTTGGAGGTGGCTGCTATGAGGTATAGCCAGACCGAGCTCGGACTCTGTAGCCTGAGAATGAGAGTAAATATACCTATCTATTGTGGATGCAGTATGAGTGTTCAGAGGGAGGAGTGACTGTGTTTGTGAAAGGAGTTCCCTTCAAGTGCAGCTGCGAGGGAGAAGAGGTAGTCTTCATCATGACAGTCACTACTTTTTGTCATCAACTATACCTCTCAAATACACCATTAAAGCATTATATGACTGCCTTTGACTTTGGCTTATCTCTCCCCCCACCAGCACATAGTGGACCTCAGCTGGGGCAGTGAGTCATGTGTGACCGGCTCCATCATCTGTCCCTCCTGCTCCTCCATCTGCTACGACGACCACCCCATCTCCGTCTGCCCCCACCCTGGTCAGTTAGCATCACTAATAATTGTCACTAAGTTTTATTGCCCAGCCGACCTCTCTGTGAACTTAGTTGAGAGAAATCCCTCTCAGTTTCAGCTTGAGAGATAAAACATCATACTATACTTTGCTATGAATATTACATTCCTCTTGGTATCACTCATGATTCCCAGTTTCTCAATTCTCGTCATACTTCCCCCTATATAATAGAACCGGAGGAATGCTACGGAAGAGTTGTCGGAAGAGAAGGCGACTGTTCTCGTAGAGTTGGTTCAACGAGACATGTAGTGGGAGGGGCTAGTACCACGCCCCTTGTCAGCCATGTTTCATTAGTACTGATCACCATATTTTTGCTATTAATGACAAATTAATTGTGTATTTGTATGTGTGTGTGTGTTTTGTGCGTGAAATAATTTTTTATCACATGTGAAGTTCAGTCATATAAGTCATAATCTTTTCTTGGAGAGAAATATGGAGTTACCACTAGATAGAGCCACTGCATGGGGGAAAGAAAGAGGAAGAGAATGGGTTTGAGAGAAGGAGATAGAACAAGAAGAACAAGAAGATGGAACGGTAGGAGAGTGAGAGAGAAGAAGAAGAAGAAAGGGATAGAGAAAGAAAAAGGAGAGGGATAGAGAAAGAAAAAGATAAAGAAGAGGAGAGAAAGAAAAAGAAGCAGAAGTTGGAGAGAAGGAGAAAAGGAGGAAGACTCACTGAGAAGATGACAGTTGAAGCTGCTCCAGCAAATTCAATAGGAGTGTATTTGTCGTTGCCATGGATGTCCAGATCAGTCAGGAGAGGGGCGAGACTGAAGTCGGGTGAGACGATGGAGATGTCTGCCAGCACCAGTCTCAGGTCCAGGTCAGAGAAAACAGCCGAGCTCTGGTTGACTCCGCCCTCCAAGAATGACTCCACCTACACAGGACACCACCCAGTGACACATCACAATTAAGTCATCCTCAGTGCACACCTTGTAATACTGGTAGATGTATTGGCCATCAATGAAGAGGACTCCACCAGCTGACACGAGGTAGATGGGCAGAATGAAGAATGCCTACAGACACCAGCTAAGGATCTAGTCAATCGGTGGGGAGAGTGAACTTTGATTCCTCGTGTATGCATTGCATTATTCTACAGCACTTCTTTTTGTCTTGGTTTACACTGGCACAAACATCTACTGCATAAGATTTAAGGTTGCAGACAGGAGCTAGACACTAAGGGAGAGAGGATACAAGTGAAGTGGTGAGTCTGTATGTACAGAACAGGTCCACGACAGTCAGGACAAACAGGACTGGGAAGGAGACTCCAAATATCCAGAGAATGGTGAAGTCAGGGTACAGAGATGCCCGAGGCAGGGTCTCCTCTTTGCTGTATTCAAAGTTCCTGAGACCAAATCCTACACCAAATGTGATCCAGCCAGCCAGCGAGAGGAGCAGGAAGGCTGTGGACACCTACACACCACAGTTATCAGTAAAGATGGAGATTCATGCACTAACTTGTTTCTCTAGAATAGGGTAACAAGTGCTCACCTTTCTTACAACTCCAGGCAGAACCATGGCCTGAGTACTTGTCTCTACTGCAGTCAGTTCACTCAGGCTACTGATAGCTACGACTCTCGACCACTGCTTGGTACGTGTCAGGAACTAATGGCATTCTATGACGGCAAACTTGGCTCTTGAAGCCAAATTGAGACTCTAATGATATAACTCTGCCCAAAACAGCTCCTGCTAACAGCACACTAGTCTGTACTAGAAGAACTGCGTGAGAGCCAGGTCCTCATCAATTTGTAGTAGAGGCAATGAGGAGGATGTTGCTGACGACTGCAGATTACAGCAGGTGTGCCAGGGAGAGTGTCAGCTGTGGTGAATGGCGATTAGCGTTTGGTGACAGCACAAGACACAAGGTCTGACAGCCATCACCTGCTGCAAGTAGTGGCTCGTGACACTGTCAACAGTGCTCCAAGACATATATTATCGTATTATTCATTTGGTACAAAACTCAATACAACAGCAGCTATTCATGAATTCAATGTTAGAACCATTCATACATTGACGACACACAAACACTGGAATATGATGTATAATAATATAACACGAGGGGGTTAAAAAATATTGCAGCTCCAACATTGGCACATATACACAAACACACACAATGGTATAAAAACTGAATAATTATATATTATGAACACTGATTGATACACAACAAATTTCTCAATAGCACACAATGTCTCAGTCACTCTCAACAAAGTTTCTGTTGCCACACAACATGTTGCCACACAACAGTCCAAATCTGTAAAGAGAAACCAAATTGTTGATAGTTCACTCGAACCGAGGAATGTGGGGAATTGACTAACCAGATGAGGTCAAGGTTCGAGAGAGAAGTGTTGCTGCTGCTCTTTCCCGCCAGCCCCAGGGTCCCTGTCGTTAGGGAGGTAATTGGTTGGGCATCGGTTGCAGCAGAAGTGGAGGGGAGTGGAGGCTGAGTGTTTGTTGGGGTCAGCTCAGGGTTGCTGTTGCTAGTACTGCCTGAGGATGATGTCCTCTGGGAGGAGGTGTGGCCAGAAGTGGCAGCAGTCTCAGGAGACTGGTGGCTGGTACTGGAAGAGAGAGAGAGAGAACATTGAACCACTGTATGAAATCCCTTCTCTAAGACACCACTGAAATGAGGACACCTCTCCTTTTTCTTTCCCCCAAGAACAGTGTTTAACACCCTAAATAAGGACACCTTGCTAATACTTAATAGACACTTCCGTCCTAATCTGTGTCTGGATTAGAGGGGTTCCCCTGGACTACCCACCTGGCGGGTGGCTGGGTCTGAGAGGGCTGCTGTGGACTAGGACTTGGAGTCCTTCGTCTGTTCCTGATCTCACTGTACCCTCTCCTCGGGGGCTGCGAGGACGATGAAGCTCCGCCCACTACCCCGCCCCTCGTTCTCCGGCGATGGACAGTGGGGGAGTGCTCTGGTTCCTCCTTCAGCCGCACGAGGAGTGTTCTCATGAGCCCCGGGTGATGCACACCATCACTGTTGAGGTGGGGGTCGCTCGGCATGCGATTCAGGTGGGTGTGGTAGGTTTGCGAGGACGATCGGTGAGCTCCGTTGCCACGGGGAACCTCGTGATGTGGGCGGAGTCCAGAGGCGTGGTCTCCACCCCGCTGGCGAGACATGTCGAGGACGGATTGCGAAAGACCCTGAGCCAGGTTTGAAGAGGTTGTGACTGTGAGGAGGGAGAGGTCCGGTACTGAGGACTGGAACCGACGACGGCTGCTGTGAACAGGCTGCGACAGAGCCGAGGTGTGGGACGGCATGTCCGACGTCTTGAAGCTGTGGTGGGCATGGCTGTCGTCATGGAGATTAAACACTATCCTTCCCCCTCCAAGTTCGTCGTCGTCGTCGATAAACTGCTCTTGGCTCTGGGCGTGGTAGAGGTGGAGGGGTCCTCCGGTGTGATGGGGTCTGGAGTGGGGTACCCCGAGATCCTTGATGCTGATTTGGATGTCGGTGTGGGAGAGGGGCGGATCTCCCCAGGGGTGTGGCTGGGAGCAGCCAGTCTCGTCTCCGCTACCCTCTTCAAACCGTGGGGCCCGGTCCATTCCGTGGCGGGCGGGTGATGCGAGCAGTGACGCCTGACTCCCAAACTCAGCCTCGTCGGGCACTGAACCGGCCGAGTCTCGTCGGAAATTGAGGTGCTCCTGACGCTGAGATGCTCCGTGCGGTAGAGCAGGGGGCGGGACCAACGTGTGTCGGTACATGGGCGGGGAGATGGGGTTGTCAAAGTGGTGTTGAAGGAGAGTTGGATCGGCGGAGCGTCTGCGGTGTTCCCTGAGTCCCTCCCTGGAGTCCCTCCGCTGGGAGCGGTACTGCGGAGGCTCTCCACTCTGCCTCTGCTGTGAGTGGTAGCTCCTCTCCTTGACCCCCGGCAGCTGCTGGGAGTTGTTTCGCACAGAGTGCTGCTGACTCATGGCCACCTGGAGATGTTCTCTGTAGTCTCTCTCCCCCTGCCTCCTCTCCCTCTCTCTTCGTCGCTCCTGGTCGTACCGTCTCTCCTGCTCACGTCGTCTTTCCTCACTGCGCCTTCTCTCCTCACTGCGATGTCTTTCTTCGCTTCGTCTTCTCTCTTCGCTGTTTCGCGTCTCCTGCTCTCTCCTCATGGCCTGCTCGTGTCGCCGTTCTCGAGATCGGTCCTCCCTCACTCGAGGACTCCTGTCACTGGGACTGGGAGGAATGGGCTCCGAGTGGGAGTGCTGGTGCTGGTGTCGAACTGATCGTGAGCGAGACGGGGAATTAGGGTAACTAGCAGGGGGAGCCTCGTTTTGCCCCTGAGTAGATGAGCTTGTGTTGGACCCAGAGCCGGAAGAAGACGGACGCGTATTCTCCTTCGTTTGCTTCAGCTCCTGCAGCAATTAGAGATAATCATTGATAGGAGTAAGCCAAAGAGACAGTGACTCACTGACCTTTTGAAGGCTCTCCACGCGGTGTTCCAGTCGACGGACGTGTGTGGAGAGGTCTCGGCATTTCTGGTGGGTTGTGAGTGGCCTCACGCTGAACCGCAAGACCAGAGTGTCATCTCTCAGGAACCCATCACTCTCCTGCAGTCACCATGGAAACAGTGTTGGGCTAAACATGAAGAGGTGTTTTTGCTCACCAGTTTTGCAAGTTCATAGAATTTCCGGTAGCCCCAAGACTCTCCGTCCTCAAAATCAGACACTGCAAATGCAAATAGAACAAAGTAAATGTGATCGACACCAATGATTTCTATTTGAAGCCACCTGTTTTGTTCACACAGGATAGCTTACTTACCGTATTCCTTCTTGTAGTTTCGTGACGGATGTTTGTTGGAACAGCTGTAGAGCATCTCGATGCAGTACTGGTACCTGTGCAAGAGATCATGTGACCAGTCACATGACCAGTGGGACTTACTTGAACTTCTTATCATGGCTATCAGTCAGCTCCAGAAACACGCTCAGATAGAGCCCAGTGTCTTCCCGATGTCCATTCTAGTAAAACAGGGTTTGAACTGCAGAGTTCTGAATGAGACTGGGATATCTCACTGGATAAATCTTGAGTCTCCAGACTGTGCCGTACATGTGGAGTGGCTTGCTGTATACCTCGTCTCCCTGTTCCTTTAGCTGGGAGTATGGCGCGACTTTGAACACACTGGTGGTATAGCTGGGCACCACCTCACTGGGTGAGGAGAGAGAGAGAGAGAGTCAGGGGGTTGGCAGAGGAATGGGGGAGGGCTTACTTCAAGAACTCTCCAATACTGGGCATGGGCTCAATCTCCACAGATTGCAGCTGAGGATAGGCAGAGGTGAATAAGGAGTTGTCCACAACTGATGTACCGTGCCTACATACCTCCTCCAACTTGTCAAGTACATCTTTCCTCAGCTCTCCGTTTTCACTCAGGAGACATGCGATGGACCCACTCTTGATCTGCAAGCAACAGCACCACATCAGAACTGAAACCCTCCTTCCCATATCCTACTATGTAGTTCTATTTCTTGCCCGCCACCTCACCTTGTTCTCCAGGTCTCTGGTGGTTCTGGTGAGCTGCATGGCCTGTCCCTTCAGTTTCTGTCTGGTCTCTCCAAGTTTCCCTTGTTTGGCCACGTACTGTGCCTCCAGGCGCTCCATCATCTTCTCAAATGCTTCCTTCATCTCTCTTCGAGCCTGCCAGCCAGAAAGGAAAGGGGAGAGAGAGGGAGTGAAGTTGCAGGTGGACCAGTTATATGCAATATGAACACGGGGTATTCAAAACCGTCAATGAATAAACTAATGGAGGTGCGGTGTATGACATAACTCTGCGTAACAACAACAACCCTAGCACCAGATGACGTTGCGCTCTCTCCCCTCCACTGCAACGAGAAGGGAGGGGCTCTCTCCCCCCCACTGCAACGAGAAGGGAGGGGCTCTCTCCCCCCCACTGCAACGAGAAGGGAGGGGCTCTCTCCCCCCCACTGCAACGAGAAGGGAGGGGCTCTCTCCCCCCCACTGCAACGAGAAGGGAGGGGCTCTCTCCCCCCCACTGCAGCGAGAAGGGAGGGGCGGGGAACAATGTAAACTGTTACAAAAACAATGCTCGGCAGTAGACACCAGGTGCGAGGGCAAGCGGAGGAGGGACTAATTGTCTTATGACTGTCGAGGGTGTGAATCAACAGACTGGGTCATGTGATACCAGCCACAGGAATGTCAGACACACACTCACACACCTTTATCTTGCTCCCTTTGACTGCCTCCATCTTTCTCTCCACCGCCTGGACCTGGTTGAGGATGATCTTCATGTGCTCATGGAGTCTGCAGAGCTGTGGGAGAACACAGATAGGGAGGGAGGAGAGAGGGAGGAGAGGAGAGAGGGAGGAGAGGAGAGAGGGAGGAGAGAGGGAGGAGAGAGGGAGGAGAGAGAGGGAAGATGTTTACTAGTGGATTGTACCACAGGACATATCATTGAAACTGGATATTCTGACAAAAGGAGGTAACCACACAGTGTCAATGGTGGTATACCTGTTGCTCGCAGATCTTGGTCTGTTTCTGCAGTAGGACCTCCAGTTTGACAAACTTATGGTTGCGATGAGGACTGCTTTCCCAGAGGACACACTCGTGGCACACGCAGAGACGACAAGTCTCACAAAACACCGACACCTTCTCCTTGTGCTGGGAGCAATGTCTAGGGAGAGATAGAGAGGAGGTAAATGATCAGGCTTTCTTAAGGAAGTAAACTACATTAACAGCAAGAGTGTTGCAATATCGGTTAAGTCCACATATCTGAAAAATGCAGAGAAGCCGAAGCATTACGTTCAACCCATCATTTGTTATTCTAATACAGTGTATGATGGAACAGTACTGTGTTGATATGTACCTCTCTCTGAACTGAGGTTTCCCCTCCAGAGGGTTAGTAGGTAGCTGCTCTAACTCCTACACACACAGAGAGAGAGAAGGAAGTATGTAAGATTACGTAAGAGTGAAAATTCTCACGTCGTAGCAAATTACATTTACCCAACGAGCGACGGAGGTTATCCCCATTGGGACGAGGGAGGGTCGAGCGAGGGATGCCATGTCAATGAATGATGTATGACTAATTTGAAACAATTACCTGCTAAACAAACACAATCAGCAATGTTGTGTAACGTTACATAACCTTCCGGTGGAATGTTCTAAAGCTGCACACAACAATGCGATTGGGTACTTTGGCACGATTATTCCAAGAAAAGTGTCCGACTCTCCAGCCATGAATTATTATGATGGATGATGTAATAGTATGAAGAGGTATATTGTAAAGACTTACATGTCTCAGTTCGTCAAACAGGGGCACTCTAATTAGAGAGCTCTCCGTCAGTGGAGCTCTGCAGTGCGGGCAGTTGGCTTTGTCAGTTGTCACCCATCGCTGCAAGGAGGAGGAGGAGAGGCAGCAGTAATCAGAAACCATGGGATGTGTACCCACGGCTCATTGCACTAGTGTAGGCGGCACAATTACCCTCATCTGCTGACTATTAAACGAGGTCTTAATAAAATTACAAATCTCAAAGCTGCCGCAGTACGCACCATCTGTTGTTATAAAAACAGTCGCATAGCGAGCGGTTTTGTCAGTGGGTGTAACACATTCCAGCCCCTCCCTCTCTCTACCTACGTGACCTCTTGTTACCTACTTACCCTGATGCAGGAGTAGCAGCTCATTTTAGAGCAGTTTGGACAGAGAGAAGCATCTTGGAGAGGGTCTGTGCAGATGTAGCAGCGAAGTAGCTCAGACAAGGTCTGTGAGGAGGGAGGGAGGGAGGGAGGGAGGGATGGAGGGGGTAGTGGATGATTGTTAGCATTCTCCGACTGCGTCCCCCACATCTCAATTAAGACTAGAATAACCAGACCATTATTCCGTGGAGCACACCTGCCGACCAGCCCCAGTGAACGTGAACAAAGCGTGGGGATCACTTTCATTGTGGGAGGACGAGAGTTATTGCAAGACTGCTCAGCCAGTAAATTGCTACCAGGCAGTCAGGGGGAGATAGAGAGGGGAGGAAAGGGGGAGTTTTTCCATAGACATTTCCCTAAAGACTGAGGGTATTACTGCCCCACCTTCCTCCCCCGGTTCCTGAGCCAATCTCCCGTGCATTCCTAGTTCCTGGACTGGGGGAAGTCTCAGCGTATCAGGCCACATTGCGGTGTTTGTGGGACAGTGTCACTGCCCTCTAGAGACCAGGATATTCATGCTCTGGGGGCATGTATGTGCTTATACGTCCTATATCGTGAATACAGACAGCTATTAGACTAAGGTATAGTAGGCACGAGGGGGTAGGTGAAGGAGCAATAGATTGGGACATTGACTGGTGACATGTGATAGGCCCCGGGCAAATAGCTCAACGTCCAGAGCTGTTTATGGGAGACGAGCGGTGAAGCAAGAGAACCCGGGGACTGGGCTGACACCCGAGCTAGCCACAGAGAAACTGCTCTGGGACGGATCCCACCACCTCAGTCGTATCGGGTGACCTTGTCACCATCACACGAACCTGGCTCCAGTTTCAAATTAGGAGGACGAACCCAGAGCCTCGCGGGTCATGTGACCTCTAGCAACGCACCCACACTCACAGTTTTGACTGGACATGTGCATCGCTAGCTGACAGCTTGACAGGTATAATTACACTCAAATACTGATCACTCCTGCTATTAATAGTAATTGGCAGTGGAGAAAACAGGTCCCATGTCAATAATATTGCAGTTAGAGTTGCTAGGTAACAGAGTAAACACAGTGCTGTGAGAGTATCCGCCAGCCGCAGTTGTCAACGGCAACGGCAGGTGGCCTGTACATTCCGGGTCTAATTTGGTTAGTTACTCCTCTGCATGGTGGCTTGTGCAACTTTAGATTTTTTCATGCAAATATTCTGCTCACTGACTTTATACCATGCTAATTTATGCAGCCAAGAGAGCAAAATCAATCCTTTGTAAGGCTTCCCATTTCGAAGCCGATAGATTGAGCGTTGCAGGGGAGAGTGAATGTTTGGAGCTAGAGATGCGATCAAGGACCAAAAAACTGCAGCAAATACAACCCACCTCCACCGGACCTCCGCCTCCTCCTTGTACTACGGCCAATCTGGTCGGCGGCTCCGACATCGCGGTCCACCAGCTCGCGTCGGGCTCTTGTTCTGGGTCACTAGCAGGACTGAGGGCCGCGGGGATGACTGCCTATGGAGCTGGGCTGCTTCAGTCCTCCCGGTTTTCAGTTATATTCCCCGCGGAGGAGTGCCTGCGCTCCGCTGCGCATCCTACGTTTACGCATGCGCATTCAACATTCGCGTCAATGTGCAATGCGCATGCGCAATAATAAGCGTGTGGGCATGGGGTGCGCGCAGCGAATGAAGCACTGCTACATAATATATCATCACAAAAACTGGTATAATACATGAGATTGACATAATAATATATAAACCACTGATGAAAAACGTGATAAATGCTAAGTTTCAAACACAACTCAGTCTGGAGGTGGGGTATATACAATACTAGGTGGTTTTGTTGTGGCGAGACACGGCAGGAGAGGAGGAGGAGGAGAGGGGGAGGGAGCTGAGAGGTCTTACAGGGACTTGAGCTGGGTCTGCAATACAACAGAAAGCCACAGTAACTACATACTGTACTATATTGGAAAGGTTCAGTGGGAGAGAAAACTGTTGAATTTCTTAGGTTCAGTCTAGCAATCTGAGAACGTTTCTAACCATTCTTGGAGACTCACCGACTGGAGGAAACTCAGTCAGAGAGCAGAGCAACATGTTCTCCTCCTCCGCCTTCGGGTGACGAAACTTCCCACGACCTTTGCCCTTTCCCTGCTCGGCCGTGGGGACAATACACTGAAAGTTCTTGGTCTGCATGGCGTCGATCTTCTTCTGAGTGGCGACGGGGCCAAGGAGGTCCATGAAGCTCTTGGTGAGGTGTTTGCAGATGAGGACCTGGCTGCTCTGGATCCCCAGGAGTCGTGCCAAAGTCTCAGTGGTGAACCGGGGCTCTAGCAACTGGCGAGGGAGGGAGGGACATGATGAACTATACAGTGGAACCCCTCTAATACAGACACTGAAGAGTGAGATTTCCTTGACGGTGCATGCAAGAACTCTTATCAGGGAAATAAAAGGTGTCTTGATTGTCTTAGTTTCATGGTGTCTTTGGAGAGAATTCTACAGTTATAGTTATCAGGTATGTACAACAATCGACACTAGAGATAGTCATTATCACACAGGCCATACACCAGATGCTACAAGAACAGTACATATTGACCATGAGTGCTCCGTGAAGCCCGGCGTTGTCCAGAGCTGCAACATACTCGTCCAGATTGATGTTCCACAGCCAGTTCTTGACATCCTGAGCTGTCCAGTGGAGCAGCTTCTGAGATCCCTGCACCACACACACACACACACACACACACACACACACACACACACACAAGGGTAACCAACATTTTTATCTTCGAAAGTTTGAATGTTTGATACCTGAGAAGCAGCTGCGGGATCCTTGAGGTAGTTGTGATCGTAGCCACACATTCTGCGAAGAGGGAGATGATGTAGACTAAAGGAAGAGGTTGCTGCCTCACCTAAATGCCTGAATGGCTCTCTTGAGACTCAGGAGGTGAAACGGGTCGTTTACCTCCAGAGATCAAGATCACCCTGTGGTGGGGATAGGGTTAAACGACTATCAGACCCATGTCATGTGATCAGTTACCATGGAGATGACGTTGAGCATGTGACTGTCGATCCTGGCTTCGACGAAAGTTCTGACGTAACCTGGGAGACCAATCATCCTCAGCCACTCTGTGGGAGGAATAAGACACCCTTGAAACAAGGAAACCTCTCTATTTTCTCTCCATAATAACAGCTCCATCGGTGTCCAGATTAAAGAGGCTCCAACTGTAATCATTCAGAGCCAGGAAAGTCTTCTTCACTCAATGTCATCCACAGAGAAAGGAGACGAGAGACTCACCGGAGACCCAGTTGTGGCTGAGGCCTTCCAGAGGAGTGGGCGTGGCACTAGTCGCCTCTTCCACAGCCAGTCTCAACTTCTTGCAGTGGAGGGTGCTCAGTATCCCTACTTGCTGGGGAGCCAGGGAGAGAGAGAGAGAGGGGAGCAACTATTAGCTTGTTGTATACAGAGTGTGCACTAATTCCTGCAGCGCGTGAGGGTTTTTTTTAGCATTCGCATAAGAATTTCGTAAGTGGTAGAGTTGCCTTTCCGTTTTCTTTTGGGTAAAGGGTGCATTCTCTGCATGGGTACTT